ACTTACAGCAATGAAGATAGGCGATATAGAGTGCCTCCAAACTTCCCTGCTCGCTTTCATCCGTCTGATGTTCTCGAGTTTGGTCCGAATAAAAAGGTAAACAACATGCCCTAATATCAAGTACTTCATAGTTTATTAAAAAAAGAGATGCATTTTGACTATTTGTTTGAATCTAATCAAATGTTATTTTGACATGTATTTTGTAGGTGGCATTTCGGGTAAAGGTGATGAGAGAGCCACCAAAGATGTCCAAGGAGGGAGAGAACCGAATTCTCCAGACAGTATGAGAATTTGTAGACACGAAAAATACGTTTTTTTTTCAGTTATTATACAATGTGAAAATTGTACAGAATTTAGCAGTAAACAGAAGAACACAGAAAATGGTTGGAGATTTTTGCCACCTTTTTTGGATTTGTAGCAAGTTATGGAGTATGGTTATGTATAGATACATATGAAGGTGCTACAAGAAATTAAAGCCATTTTTGCTATGGATCATGTGATCCATATTTATATTTTTTTTTTTATGTTTACATAAAATGTGGTATATATGTATAAAGATCAAAAAACTGAAAATTTGTATGTATAAAAAATGTTTGCAAAATCACATAAAGGAGCACTTTGAAGCCTTTGTTTATTATATAGCACCATATAGAGGCATTTAATTTGGCCGGTTTTTTATATATGTAAACCTTGAATAAGATCATGAGTGATAAGGGTGAAGTTTTTTGAAATGTAATTGCTCCTCCGAGGTGTGGGTAACCTTCCCACTCGCCCTTCCCGCTACATACCTTCGAGCCTTAGGTTTTAGAAAATATTCGGAGAAAGAAACAAAGTTGTAATTTTTGAAAGGATGCCAACCAAACACAAGTGGGACCACCTATAAAAACATATCAAACAAATATTTTTTTATCTAAAATATATAAGGTGGAACCTACAATCAAGTGAAGTCTATGCACCCCGCTTATAACATTCTACATCTGCCACTACCATCAAGTTGGAGCATGAAGATCTCGAACACCAAGCTTGTCATGTAAAAGCTGGAATTGATCCTTCCCAAGAGGTTTAGTTAAAATATCAGCAACTTGATCTTTACTATTGATGTAAAGTGGCTTGATCTATCTAGATTCTACTCGTTTACATACAAAATAGTTGTCCATCTCCCGTGTTTTGTTCGTTCGTGAAAGACATGATTGTTAGCAATATGACGACCCGCTTCGTTATCATGGTGAAGAGAATTAGGCCCAGATTGAGATGCTTCCACATGAGAAAGTAACCACATGAGCCACAAGATTTCACTAACTATAGCAATCATTGCTCTATATTTAGATGACCTTGACACTACAAAGTGTTTCTTTATTTTCTAAGAAATTGGAGCTCCACCTAAAGTAATGAAGTAACGAATTTTAGAATGCCGAGTAAACAAAAATCCAAGCCAATTTGTGTAACATCTATTATTTTTTAGGTTTGATTTTGGACCCTTGAGTTTTGATTTGTTGCAAGAAGGGTCCCCGATGTCAAAATCTATGACTTTTAGGTGTTGCTCGAGTATGTGGGGCGTACGCCTTGGTACGTTGACTGTACTATGTCCCATGCCAGTACGCTGCTCGTACTCCGGTATGTCGGGAGGACATGGTTAAGACCAAAACCATAATAATTAGGGTTTGTGCACTATCTAAACACCATTATCGCCCCAAGACCTTTCCCTTTACCAACCTCCATCTCAAGATCGACCCTCTTTGAAAACCCTAGTTCATTTTGAGCATTTTGAGCTTTTTAGAGTGATTGTGTGCTTCCTTTGTTGTGAAGGACCTTCAAGGAGTAAGCTTTGCTATCAAGACTTTGGATCCAACATCTCCTTTTCATTGTGCACCATATGGAGGTATAAAGCTCCAAACTTGGCTTATGTTCTTTTAGATCTTAATTAAAGCCTTGTTCTCTTCCTTTTTGTCCCCAAAGTTTAGAGCTTGATGAATATGAGGTACTCCTAAGCCTTCAGGGTGTCCCTTCAGACGTTTTAAAGGGTCCGTATCTCGTAGTCAGCGGAGTGTGGGCGGGGCCCGTATCTCCTAGTAGCATGATTATTTGTATGGTATGTGGTAGTTTGGGGAGACTCACCAAGCTTCGTGCTTACAGTTTTCAGTTTTGGTTTCAGGTACTTCTGGTAGCAAAGGGAAGAGCTCAGGATGATTGCAGTGCACACACCATTTGTTCAACCTAGGATGTTTACACTATGATATATTTGACAGATGTTATGATATTTTTGAGATACACGACTTATGATATTTCTATGTTGAATGATAATTATGGTTTTATTAATGAATTAAAATGAAATTTTTAGACTGTATCTTTGGGATGTTTCACATTGGTATGTTACAAATATCATCTTCAATAGGAACATAACCAGCTTGGTTAAATAAATCAATGACAACAATAAGAAAAAAAAAAGTAACAAAAATAAAGAACGACATTAAAAATAAAGAAAAACTATCTTCCACACCCAGTACATCAACCTGTAGACAAAATATACTTTTTATATTTTCTTATTAACATTAAAAGGATAGCAAATAAAAACGAAATTTAAATTTGAAAATATTATTATTGATTAAAAAGTTAAGAATTGTAATAAAATAATATATAATTAATCAAACAAATCAATAAAATAAAGATATTGGCTAACATCTCCTAAAATCGGCCGCCAATACTATCTTATGGGCGTGTTCGACACAGAGTTTTTGGGAGCGTTTAAGAGCTTCTAGCGTTTGACAAAACGCTCTGTTTTGAACAGAAAGTCTCGTTCGGCACTGAAAGCTTCTAGTTTAGTTTAAACAAAACGCTCCAAATCTAAATGCTACTTCATGTAGCATTTAAGAAAACACTACAAGCTACAAGCTACCCGCTAGTTTTGCCGAATATGTCCTATGTCTAACGAAAAGTAAAAAAAGTTTATATCATTGAACCGATCTTTCCCTTTCAACGCAAAATTTTTCATGAATAACAATTTTTTACCTCAAAATTTCATATTTGGGTGAATGAAAATAGTGTTGAATCAAATGTATATAGTTATTGTGAAATCATATAGGTCAATAATGAATACATTTACAGAAGAATACTCAAAACTAATTATTGTTATCTAACAATTCATAGGATGCTATCTAGTTCCAAGATGCAACAAAAATTGAACATCATTCTCATTTTCTCGCCATTCAATCAACAATTTATATATAACCTCAATGAATTATTCAAAAAGCATAGAGCGACCATCAACATCCTAACAAAAGAAGATCAACTGGAAGTTGTAAATGTTGTTTTGAATTTTTGGAAGCTACAAACATATCATTAGTCTAGGTTGTCAGGTAGCAAAACATAAAAAGGGATTCTATGGCTTTATACATCCAGATAACGTTAAATGAAAAAAAAAACTTATAGCTTCATCAAGTTCATAATGGAAATTGATATTTTAGGAATTCTACATGCCCTTTTCCACATGGACTTCTAAAACCTTCTTCTATTGAACAACATTCTCACCTTTGTAGTATTGTTATTAGTACCTTTGCACTCATTATAGGATGTTGCATTTATTGAGTCATAGATTTATGTTGGAAACTTTCAATCTAGAACCTTGATATCCGAAATATTTCATTGAAGCACCAGAATTTGAAGCCTTGGTGGAAAATTAGAACTTAGCTAAGGAATGAAGGGTAAATTGTATTGCTATTACCCAAAACTTTCCCCTAAAAACCTGCTATTTAGACCATATTTGTTAAGAAAAAAAAAGATTTTAAAAGTTAGTAATAAGAAATGAGTAATATACAAAAAGTGATGAGATTGTAAGGCGTATGATTAGGGTATAAATGTCATAATTTGGTCTAGGTGAAATTTGGGAAACATATTCAGGAAGAGGTAGAAAATGTAAGCCAACTCTCTAATAAGCAATACAAACTGTTAGAAAAAGGGCAAAAAGGTCTCAACTTTTTATACCTAATAAACAAAAATAAACATTTTTTGGTTATAATCTAATCCAGCTATAAAACTATAACCAAACATGTTTAATAATATAACAGAAGTGTAATCAAACCACAATCAACATCATCTACCAAATAGAAGGTGTAAATTCACCCATTTAATCTCCAAAGTTGAAGTTTATCACTATTGTACAATGAATATAAAGAATATCAGGTTCAGGGAGACAAAACATGTCACAACTAGGAATTCTATACCATGTAACAACAACAATGATAACATTAGTGAACCAAAAATGTGAAATCATGTATGATGCTTATTCAATAACAACAAATTTTCCATCAAACACTCTATACAAGCATTTCAAATAGTCAACAAAGAATTAGAAACCCTAGAAATCCCGGTTTAAGTCCATTTTGGACTAGGATTTCCTTATTGGGCCTAATGGGCCAATAAGCTCCCAATTTGACTATTTTGGGCTTAGGACTCTTAAATGGAACCTAATTGGACCCACTTTCATTTATTTTAACATTTTGGGCCATAATGGGCCTAGAATGAAATAAAATACCCTAATGGACCTTATTGGGCCATAACTAACCTAATTAGCTTTAATGGGCTATGAAACCCATTCTTTCATTCTAATTGGGCCGTAAACACCTCTAAGGGCCCAATAGGCCGAAAACCATCAAAATGGACCTCCTATTATTGGAACCAAGCATTAAAGGCCCATTCCATCCCTCTTCTTTCTCCCTCTCGGCCCATATATATATATATATATATATATATATATATATATATATATATATATATATATATATACTAGTAGGATACCTGCGCGATGCAGCGGCGACAAATAATTCCCTTTTGATTAATAGATTCCTAACAGAAAATAGTTTCTATTCACAAAATAAAACAAAATTCTTATCAATATAATTTGCACCAAGACACATCTAAACAAACATCTAATTGCAACAACAAGAAGACAACTAATCCAATAATCACTCTGATAATATAAACTTGAAATGATTAAAAGAATGCAA